CGGAGGAGGTGAGCCTCCGAGACGGGGCAGGGTCTCCGCCGCAGCCAGCCCACCGCGAGCCGGTCGGCCAGGTGGTGCGACGATGAGGGGCTGGAGCAGCGGTTTCTCTTCAGTTGCCTTCTGTCCTCACGGGGCCTGGTCTGGCTCTGGAAGCTGAGCTGTGCCACACGCCTCCGTGGTCTGAGGCTCTCTGGCTTTGCAGCCCAGCATGGCCACCCCCTGTGTGCAATCCTCCCCGTGCCAGTCCTCCGCATGGCCTCCCCATGCTGGTCCTCCCCATGCCGGTCCTCCCCGTGCGGTCCTCCCTGTGCTGGTCCTCCCATGGCCTCCCCCCTGCCTGCCTTTTCTGCTGTATTTTCCCCCAGTTTCTTATTTTCCCCTAACCTCTTCCCCTAACCTCTGGGCCTTTCCCTCACATGACCGGTGGGTCTTCTCTGAGGGTTGCTGTTCAGAGATAGTGTGGTCATCAGCCATGTCGTTCTTGCATCGCCGTGACCCCCTAACGCTGTGCCCGCCCTGCGGGCTTTGTGGTGGCTGCTCAGGGCCCTGTCCTCAGCACCTTTTCTGCCCTGCAGCTCCACTGACCGCCTGGCTCCGCCCTGCTTCGGGCACTGGGAGGCCGGCCGCCCTGGACCACACCTGCAGTACCCCCGTGCTCCTCACCTGGTGGCTGGCTTCGGCCAGTGGGGGACCCCAGCAGGAGGGCAGGGAGAAAGGGGAGTGAAGGCAGAGTCTGTTCTGCCAGCCGCTGGCAACCACCCCTTCGCTGGGCTGTCCCTGGGCCTGGGGGTGCCGTAGCCTGGCCATGACCAGCCCTGTTTCCTGCACTGTCCCTGTGGCTCACCCACTCTCTCCCCTCCCTGAAGAGTCCCGTTGCGAATAAACCCTCCTGAAACCGTCCCACTGAGCATGCTGCCGTCTGTTTTCTCCTGGGATGCTGATGGATATGACTGTATTCACAAAACAGACTCTGTGGCAGGCCACTGGCTATCACCTACATCCAGGCAGACTTTGTAGTTGGCTTTTTTCCTTCCATAAAAGGGTGGGTGACATAAGCCCTCAGACCTGGTCCCCTGCTCTTGGGTGTCGTCCTGGTGGGCAGGGGTGAGGCCGAGTGACGGCTCCCTGGCTGCACCAGTAGGGCCAGCCCCGCAGGACAGCGCCCACTGTCACTGGCCACAGCTGCATGGCTCAGTGAGCACCTTTGGTGCCTGCAGATAATGTGTCCTTCAGGGAGGGTCCACAGGGCTGGGTGCGTGGGTCACTATGTGAGGTGAGCCCCTCTGGAGCGACCCACCTCCTCCTGGGCTGCCCCCGCAGGCCCACCCCTCCTGCCTCAGTTCTTCCTGTTCCGTGATGCCATTGCATGAAACTGGCCGTCCTTGGATAAGTGCTTTCTGCCTCCATTGCCTGCTCTGCCCCTTGTCCCATGCTTGAATCCCACTCACCCCCTCCTCCCAGGCACGGTCCAGCCACAGTGGGGTGACAGGGGTGAGGCACCTGGCACAGAGCCAGCGTTGGGTAGTGCGGCCGTCCCTGAGCAGGCTTTGCACCTGCCCTGGGCGCCATGGGGGGCAGCAGGCAGAGGGTGTGCACCCATCCACGCAGCGTCGGTCTTGGGACCCAGGACGTCCTACACTCCTGTGCTGAAAAAACATCTTAAGTACAAAGAACAACTAAAACCTCCCCTCCATGTTTTCCTGCCTTGAGCCCTGGGCCGTTGTCCTGTGGCCTCCTTGGTGAGCAGCTTGGGGAGGCCCTTCATGTGGTTCTGGACTCCAGACACAGTCCCCGGGGCCCTTCATGTCACCCAACTGAGAATGTCACCCCTTTGCTTCCTGAGGCATGGGCAGGGGCAGGGGCAGGTCCCTCGTCCAGGAGCGCAGATGTGCTGAGTGGAGGACCCAGGCCCCGTCTCAGCTGGGGGTCCAGGACCCATGCAGGCAGGTGGCAGGGTACAGCCTCGCATGTGCAGAGGCTCTGAGAGACACCAAGACCTGCTCCAGGACAGAGTCCAGGCAGATGCAGCCAGGCTCCGCTGTGTCTGATCCGAAGCCTCACCAACTTGCATGGGGGCCCCAGCAGCAGAGCAGTCAGAAGGTGGGAGCGGAGGGTGGAGCCCAGGACGAGTCTGGGGTGCTGCCCAGGCATCAGGGCCAATGATGGAGCCATTTGCTGAGAAGGGAGGAGAAGATGAGGCCGTTGTGGGCAGGCTGGGGAGGGATACCAACCACCGGCATTTCTGTAAGATCCAGGAGTTGGTTGCAACTGACAGTGGATCACACGGCCACGCATTCCCAGAGCTTCCCAGCTGGCGCCCCTCCCTGGAGAGGGTCCAATGGCTTCCGTGGCTGCTGGCTCTGCCCACATCACGTGGGAGAGAGGCGGGGCTTCAGAATCCCACCTGCGATGCCTGTGAGCCCCACCCAGCATCTCCCCACTGTAGACGGACAGACCACGGGTCGAGGGCTGCTTGTACAAAGCTTTAAAAATGACAGAAATGGGGCTGGCCCGGTGGCGCACTGCTATAGTGCGCCGCTTGGGAAGCGCGGTGGCGCTCCCGCCAAGGGTTCGGATCCCACATACAGACCGGCCGCTCACTGGCTGAGCGAGGTGCGGGAGCAACACCGAGGGTTGCGATCCCGTGGCCGGTCCCGGTCCGGTGCGGGCGCGACACTGAGGGCTGCGATCCGTTGCCGGTCACGGAAAAAGACAAAAAGGAAAAAAAAAAATGACAGAAATGACACTAACAGCATGATGTGTCTCCTCCAGAGACAAGAAGGCACTGCAGGAGTGGAGAGAGCAAGCCCAGCTGATGAGGAGGAAGGAGGGGCTCGGCACACGCCTGCCTCGATGCAGCAGCACGGTGAGAGGCGCTGGTGGGTGTGCTGGAGTCGTGGCCGGGCACCGGCGGCTCACACCTGCTGGGGGCTGCGCTGTGGGGTCATCTAACGCCTCCTGGGGGTGGGGGGAGCTGCACCTGCACCCCTCACCAGGGAGCACTGGCCCCGGAGTAAGTGACCTGCCTCAGGCCCCAGCCGATGCCAGCCGAGGCCCACTGCCCACTCCTCGCAGCAGGATGGCAGCTCTTGTGTCAGCCTCGGAGGGCTTCCCTCCTGGCTGTCTGAGGAGTTAGGTGCTGGGGTGGGAGTGGCGAGGAAGATTTGAGAGAGATTGAAAGAATAAGTGCACAGCCGTACACCTGAGGCTGAGATGGGCCCAGGTGTCTTCCTGGGCCTCCTCCCCTGGTCTCTAGGCCTCAGGAGGCCAGTCCATTAAGCAGCGGCCTCCGTGGCCTTGTCCTTGATGCTGGGGTGGCCAGCCCTTGAGCTGCATGGCACAGGGTTCCCTGAGGGCAGCACCTCCTCCCGTTCCCCACACCATTTGGGGCTTTAGTCCAGCCTGGCCCAGGCGAGGGCACGGCCTGGAGGCGGAGGCTCCTTCCTCCAGGATGCGCTGGCCTTCTCCATGCCAGGAGTGCGGCTGGGCAAGTGGGCTTTGACTTGGCCACAGGTGCTTTTTGGTTCTTTATTTAGGAAATGTTCCCTGTGTGTGACCCCAGAGGCCAGGGCTTGCGTCTGTGGCCCCCTGAGCAGGGAGAGGTCCCTGAACCCCTGGCGTCACCCATAGTGGGGAAGGGTCCGTGCTGGCCTGCAGGCGGGGTCTGCTGGGATGGTTAAGGAGTCTCTTTTTTTTAACTTTATATCAACTAATTTTGGACTTACAGGAGAGCTGCAGAAACACTGCAGAGGATTTCCACACAGCCCTCCCTGAGTGTCCCCCGTGCAGGCGTCTTACATAACCACAGCACAGTGCTGAGAATTAGGAGCTCCCCGGCTTCTCCCTCTGGTCCAGGTCCCCTGTGGCATGTGGTCCTCACATCCGCAGTGTCCTTCAGGCTGCAGCTGTGACCTGAGTGACACCGTGGAGTAGGATTGGTCAGTTATTTTGTTCAGCATCTCTCCCTTTGGATTTGTCTGATGTTTCGTTGTGGTTGGACTGAGGTTTTGCATTTTGGGCAAGAGTACCTCAGAAGTGGCATGCGTGTTTCTCTGTGTAGCGTGTCAGGAGTTCATGGCATGGATTAACCTTGATTACTATTCCAGGAGTGTCTGCGGTTTCTGCCTGTAAAGTCACTGTCTCCCTTTATGGCTGAAACATGCCGGTGGTGGGGGGGCAGGGTAGGCTTTTGTACATGCAGATTTACTAATCACAGTGTCTGTCGGTGTCTGGTCTATAGCACGTGGGATCCTGGCAACTGAGTTGTTTTGTCAGCTAACGTTTTCCAAGTTGCCTTTGTCCATCTAACCAAAACAGTGGTTTGTTAACTAAAAAAAAAAGAGAAGAACAAAACAGTGGAGTTTTTTACCCTAGTAGAACATCCCAGTGAACAACAGAATTTGCAGAAGTGGAGTTTTTCAGGTTCAGGTGCATTGGGGTCTTGGGCCCTGCCCTCCGGTGCAGGCCACCCCCCTACCCCCCCACCCCCGGCCAGCAGACACTGCAGGGGCCCTGCCACCCCTGGCTGGTCCTCAGAGCACTGGGCTGGGAGAGTGACATTTGCCACTTCCTGGACTGTGGCTCAAAGGGGACCTGGGTTCCTCCCTTACAAACAAGATGTGTTAATGCATGCCACACGTGGGTCTTTCTAAAGAAACCTTCTCAGGAAATAGAATTAGGACAGTTTTTTCTCTTAAAGACCTCTAGACCCTGAAACAGTGTCCTGCCTGTGAGGGTTTTTCCTTCCCTTTAGGGTTGAAGAGATATCAAAACCATGGTTAACTCCAAACTGTGAGTCACCCGTGTGGCCACCAAGGAGGATGGACTAGGTACAGTGTCTCGACTTGAGAGGCGCTGAGAGAGTGTCTTGAAAATTGCAAGCTGAAGCAGCACAAGCTGCCTAGCGGTGCACAAGAGCTCGTGTGGTCTGCAAGAACAGGCACGGCACTGCTGTGTGAGGAGGGGCAGCTCGGGTGGTAAAGGAGGGACGGTGGCTGCGCGGTGTGCACTTCTGAGTCCCGTGCATTGTGCATCGTGCACTGTGAGAGTGCATGCGTTGATTGTATAGCTGCTTAAAAAAGAAAAAACGTTTCTAGAAACTCTTCTGTCATGAGATAGACCGTGCAGCCAGTGAGTGCCGACAGCCAGTGAGCAAGGAGCAGGCACCAGCAGCAGTGCGACAGGAGGGCGGGCGTGTGGTGTCCTGGGATCCTGAGCAGAGGCAGCAGGGCGGGGAGGGCGCCGGCCCTCACATACTGGACCAAATATTTTGTATGGCCCAAAATACTGTAATCAAAGTCAAAAGGTAGAGAAAATATTTGTGACAAAATGTCGATATCTAATATATAAGGAATGGCTATAAATTGATTATAAAAAACAAAAGAAGCCAGTAGAAAAATGGGCTAGTGTGTGACATTCACAAGAGATTTAAGTGGCCAGGGGTGCGTGGAAGGTGCTCGTCCACCTGAGAGATGTGAGTGCGTGACCTGGACACTCCCTGTGAGGCGGGCCTGGGGCGGCTCCCAGCCTTGGAAAACATCTGTTTGGGTTAAGAACGTGTATTTCTTTGAACACTTCTGGGAGTCTGCCTTAGACAAATAAAGGCCCTTATGTAGAATGCGCGTTTGTGTGATTCCGTGGTGTCTGCGGCGGCACGTCTGAGCGAGCAAGGCCAGGAGCTTGCGTGTCCATGATGTGGAGATGGTGACAGCCCAGGAGGTGTCCACACCGCAGGTGAGGGGCACTCCCAGCCAGTGTGGCTCCCTGCAGTTGGAGAGGAGGACACAAGAGGGTGCCACGGCCCTGCACATGCCTCAGCTGATCCCTGGGCATGCAGGTTGTACCCTGCACATCTGATGGTCGGAGCTGCGAGGCGTTGGCTCGACCTGGCTGCAGAGACGGTCTTCTGTGCTGGCGGAGGAGCACGGGCCTCCTGGCTCACCAACCACTTTTTTTTTTTTTTCCTTTTTGTCTTTTTTACTGACCGGTAACAGGATCGCAACCCTCGGTGTCCCGCCCGCACCGGGGACCGGCAACAGGATCGCAACCCTCAGTGCTGTGCCCGCACCGCGCTCAGCCAGTGAGCGGGAACCGGTCTCCACATGGGATCCGAACCCTCGGCGGGAGCGCTGCTGCGCTTCCAAGCGGCACACTCTCCAGTGCACCACCGGGCCGGCCCTCACCACCCACTTTTTAAACAGCATTGTGTGTCTACATTGCTCCAAAATCAGCAGCTGTGCCAATGACCTTGGAGCCCAGTACATGGGACTTATGATCAATTGCACGTTGACACTCAACAAGTAAAACTTGATGCGGAGCC